CTTCTGTGTCATGTGGCACTGGGAAGGATTAAAAAAAAAGTCCCAAAAATCCCAAAACAAACCAAATAAAAAACCAAAACAAATGTAGCTCTCTTTCAGATAGTTGTAGTTGCTGTTGAATCAGCCCACAGCATCCTTTTCACCAGACTAAATAAGCCTCATGTCTTCCACCTCTCTCCTTGTATGCCACATGCTTTAGTCCATGACTTCACTTTCTCCATATCTCTCTAGAGGTAGCTTAAATTTCTTCACAGCTCTCTCGAAGGGAGGGTGTTGAGAAGCCAAAACTGGATGTGCTGCTGCAGGTTCAGCCTCACCAGCACCAACCAGAGAAGGATAACAGCCTTGTCAAGCCCTGTGGCTCCTGATGTAGCGCAGAACATCTTCAGTCTTATTTACAGTGAAAGAGTAGCTCTCATTTCTCTGCTTTCTAATGGAGAGTTTTCTGTGTTGTGGAGCAAAATACTTCTTGTGATTAAAGGGAAGTGTTTTCAATTTCTGGACTAAAATTGTCAGACTGCTAAATAGAGTATTAATCTCCTAATTACATACTGAAGCAGTGGTTTTGAGTGATCAGCAGCCTCAGAGTGGGAACTGGAAGGCAACAAGATATTTATTGTCTTTAAGGTTATTTAAAAACATTGTGGTGTAGCTTTTAATGCTTTTATTTTGTGGCCTTTTTTTCAAGTGAAGATAACCAGACCAAGAGAGAGGATGATGCTTTAGCCAAGTGGGTTGCAGATCCTGCAAATACAGCATGGATGGAAAGTAAGTATCAGTCAGCACTGAAGTACAACTACAGAAGGTGAGTTTTAAGTTGTTATCAACAGTATGTGTGTATCTATATGCACATAGATATTTTACAGGAATGACCACATCCACTTTTATTGTATTTTTTCAGATATGTTCCAGAGCCAAGTTACACGTGTTAAAATATTCAGCAGTGTAATAAAATTGTGTATTTCAGAATAAAGTTAACTTTCACTTTTCCATGGAGTGCTTTTAGAGTCTATGGAATCATTTGTCACTGTCTTAAGGAAATCATATGGCTCCATCAATACGTGTACAGTGGAAATTTGCTCAAGTTCTGTTTTTGCTCTGTTGTTGTGTATGAAATTGTTCTTCTCATGCAGTAATTGTCAAATAAGTTCTTGGAGAAGGTGCGAGGGAAGGATTTACTACTTTTTCTTAGTGTCTGCCCTTTCCTCTTGGCTGGCAGCTGCATTTTGAACCAGAACAGAGACTGTGTGGTTTGAGGATAGGTTATCCTGCCTGTTCTCAGCTCTTCCCACTGGGCTCGAGGTTCATCTTACATGTCACTTGAAGTGACTGAAGAATTTGAATCCTCGTCCTGCCTCTTAATGTACTACAATGATCATTACATGTTTAGTTTTGGTTCTTTCTAAAAAAATGTCAATTACAGCTTCTCTACAACCACTTGGTAAGCCAATGAGCAGCCCTTGACAAGCACAGAATGTACCATAGTGCTGTAAAAAGCAGGGAGAAATGCTGGCTGTTGAAATGGATTTCTGTTTTCAGGCTACCAAAGGTCATCATAAACAATGCAGATAAAACTGTGTGGAATTTCACAAATACCTTATACTGTTTTAAGGCATTATTGCTTTATTTGAATGATTATTAGAAGTACTAGCAAAATGTTGATGGAGAATGAGTTATATCTCTATTTTATTCATATGTGCCAATATAACCAAAATTCTTTAGAATAGAATAAGAATATTTTAGTTGGAAGGGACCTACAACGATCATCTAGTCCAACTGCCTGACCACTTCAGGGCTGACCAAAAGTTAAAGCATGTTGTTAAACATATTGTCCAAATGCTTCTTAAACAGTATTTGTTGGTCCCTTTCAAATTTTATGGAGTTTCTAATTTGTTTTTTTGTGGGTTTTTTTGTGTTTTTTTTTTTTTCTGTTTTCCTTTTAGACCCGGATGAAGTAATTTATGATGATGTGCCAAGAGAAAATTCAGACTCTGAACCAGGTTTGAGGTCTTTGTAATACAGACCACATTGAAAGCAGTGTAATAATGAATTATATGCTTGTATACTGAATAATACATTCATTAAGTACCTAAAATTATATGTAAATGGAACTAACATTGTGTCAATAATTGGTAGCTCTTACAAAGTTCAGAATTAAACTACCTCTTGAAAGACTTTATCTCAGTAGGTCTTCTACACCGCTC